TAGGTGAGGTGACTGACAGGTAGGTGAGATGACTGACAGGTAGGTGAGGTGACTGACAGGTAGGTGAGGTGACTGACAGGTAGGTGAGATGACTGAGAGGTAGGTGAGATGACTGACAGGTAGGTGAGGTGACTGACAGGTAGGTGAGGTGACTGACAGGTAGGTGAGGTGACTGACAGGTAGGTGAGATGACTGACAGGTAGGTGAGGTGACTGACAGGTAGGTGAGGTGACTGACAGGTAGGTGAGGTGACTGACAGGTAGGTGAGGTGACTGACAGGTAGGTGAGATGACTGACAGGTAGGTGAGATGACTGACAGGTAGATGAGATGACTGACAGGTGGGTGAGATGACTGACAGGTGGGTGAGATGACTGACAGGTGGGTGAGATGACTGACAGGTGGGTGAGGGAAGCAAGTGAGCCGATGAGGGATGGCAGGCTGGTCAAGCCACCATCATTGTTCAGTCTCCTGCTCGGGCGATGGTTGGGGGCGTCAGTACGGCAGGGTTGGGATGGGAGGGATGAAGGGAGGCTCAGATTAGATGCACGATGGTATGTACCATACACGCCTATGTGAACGCTCTGTCCTAGTCTAGAGTCATTGTAAAAGACCCGCACCGCACTCTCAGCGTATGCGCCTCAGAACTACATGCCTCTGCGAACGCTGCTCTGCCATCTAGTCTAGAACCGCTGTAAAGACCCTCACTCTCAGTGTACTTTGTAGGCGCCTTAAGAATGCACGCTTCTGTGAGCGCTCTGCCCTAGTCTAGAGTCATTGCAGCGACCCTCACTCACAGTGATTCCAGGCGTGAGAGTCGGAGAATCTCGGAAGGCAGCTCAGGCATAGAGTAGAGAGAGCTGGAGGGGGGAGAGAATGGAGATGGGGAAAGAGGGGAAGACCTCAGAATCTCGGAAGGCACCCCAGTCATGGAGTAGAGAGAGCTGGAGGGGGGGAGGGGGGATGGGGAAGGAGGGAAAGAGAAGGAGGGTAAGGGTGGGAAGAGAGGCGTGAGAGACGGAGAATCTCGGAAGGGAGCTCAGGCATGGAGTAGAGAGAGCTGGAGGGGGGAGAGAAGGGAGATGGGGAAGGAGGGGAAGAGAAGGGGGGTAAGGTTGGGAAGACAGGCGTGAGAGACGAAGAATTTCATAAGGCAGCTCAGGCATTGAGTAGTAGAGAGACCTCACGGGGGGGAGGAGGAGGAGGAAGAGGAGGAGGAGGAGGAGGAGGAGGAGGAGGAGGAGGAGGAGGAGGAGGAGGAGGAGGAGGAGGAGGAGGAGGAGGAGGAGGAGGAGGAGGAGGAGCAGGAGCAGGAGCAGCGGGGAGGAGCAGCGGGGAGGATCACAGCTGGGCTGGGTCAAAGGAACTTGTCACTCACAGCTGGGTCACAGCGCCCCGCGTGTTGCAAACGATGAGAGACGATTCCCCCGGGCTGCAGCTGTAGTCCTCCTCCACCACCATGGCTGGCGACGCACTGAAAATCTTCTCCAAAGCGTATCCTGCAAGACAGGTTAACAGGGATGGGCAGGGAGGGAAGGAGAGCTTTGATTTGACGCACTGGAAACCTTAATCCTTCGAGAAAGTCAGCAGGGATGGGGGAAGGAAACGCTTGAGGCGTTCCCAATATCCTCCGAGAGTCTCCCAAGCGTATTCTTCGAGAGTGTTAAGAAAGCGGGAAGGAAAAGGACGGGTCTAGGCAGAGCTGGCAAACGCCACATTGGGAAGGGAGGCGCGGGTTATAGCAGTGGGGAGATTGAAGGAAGAGAGGGGGGGGATCCTGGCACGTGATGGCGGGGAATGACTCATTTGAAAGAGGGTGGGGGACTAGGCTTGTGCGTCATTTGAAAGAGGGTAAGGGACTAGGCCGCCTCTGCATCACTTGAAAGCGGCGACAGCTGCGGCCTCCTTCAAATCGGGACGCTGGCATAGGCACGCACGCGCGCCTTGAACGGCGTTCATAGGCGCACCGAGTCTTTTCATGTAACGAATTGTGTGTTGAATGTCAGATGTAAAAAAGTAACGCGAACGGCGTCAAGAATCACACCCGTCCTTTTTTTAGGTCTGGGAAGTCACGCACTTTGACCGGCGTCAAGACAAAGACTCACACCCATCCTTTTTTTAGGTCTGGGAAGTCACGCACTTTGACCGGCGTCAAGACAAAGACTCACACCCGTCCTTTGTAGGTCTAAGAAGTCACGCACTTTGACCGGCGTCGAGAATCACAGGAGTCGCTGCTGCCGCTTTTCGAACCGCGCAGGTTAACGCAAATATCAGGAGCCGAATCAGCAGCGCCGGGACTGGCGGCGCGAGATTACGCAGCGTCATCTTGTCGGCCGACAACCTCACGAGTAGTGCTACTAAGCAATGGATGGCACACGTGATGCTCGCTCTTACTACTGCTGGGTTGGAATAGAGCTATACTGCAGAAGGGACGTGTTCTATCGGTCCTAACTACCTGGTCACGGCCGTGGCGCGCCCGATGTACTAATGCATCTGAAGTTTCCTCAATAAGCGAGCAATGCTGCGTTCTGAGTGGACTCATAACACAAAGCTCCACAAGATGCAAGCAATGCTGCGTTTTGAGTGGACTCATAACACGAAGTTCCACAAAATGCGGCGAGCAATGCTGCTGCTATTATATCTCGGCTGGTGGTGTGCGGACAGTGCACGTGCTCACTTGCCCCTTTGCTGGCGGAAGCTGGCAATTGAACCTCCACACTCATTGGCAAAAACCCTCCGAGGAGAGCTCACGCGAATAGAAAGTGAAGTTTTGACACATCTCAAAACTTCACTTTCTACGTGCATCACACACCACGGGGCACCCATGTGTTTCTCGTCCTTCCCCCTCCCCCCTTTCCCCACAAACACCCAGCCAATTCCTCCCTCTGCTTCTCACCATGACCAACCTTACCTCACTCCGCTTCCTGGGCTGGGACAACACCTTATCTGGCTCCCTTCCAGAGACGACAACCATACTCTCTAACCTCAAGATCCTGTGAGCATACCTTGGGAGCACTTAGTTAAGAGTCTCCAAGTTCATCAGCCGCCTTGTGTAGAAAGTGAAGTTTTGAGACGCCTCAAAACTTCACTTGTTTCACGGAAACTGGCGATTTAACCTCCAGACTCCTTGGGGAGAACCCTCCGAGGAAACCTCACGTGTAGCGTTCCCATCCCATGCCCATCCCATCCCATCCTCACAGCGGTGCACTGCACACCACCGCAGTCCATCTGAGCACTGGGGGAACTGAACCGAACTGTACAGCACTCACCGCTGTTTTCAGGTTCCCGATTTGCACTTCCGTGGGTAGATACCCACCGAGATCTGTACAAAACGATATCATTTTAAAGCAGGTAATGATTGGATCCCTTTCGAGTACGAGGACGCAATTGTGGTCGCAATAAAAAAAAATGGCCCGCGCGAGTGGGTGGTGAGAATGATATACAGTTGGTCAACCAGGAGAGCATCATTCATATATTTTATATTCTGGGTGTCTGAAGCGTAAATCTGAATCCTCGGGTGCCTTTGAAACAACTGTCGACAAGGTGGAAATAGCGGCGGTTTCTGGATCCAATCTGACTCCCTCATTGGGAAAATGGGGTTCCTTCCAACATCGCCCACCGGACAATGCAACCCCAGTCACCACCATCCCGAGGCAGTTACTGCAGCAATGAAATTGTCAACACCTCATCGATCAACAGTGTATGAAAATGTCAACGGCTTGGCATGTTTCAGCCATGCTCGCTAGCCGAATCTTGCCAGCAATGCAGTGGCTCGAAAAAAGGAAGGAACTATTCCAGCAATTGGCTTCTGCGCGACAGAGTTAAACAGTGAAGGCCTCTACAGTATCTTGCCAGCACGGCTCGCGAACACAACGGTTAAATATAATATCAAACAACAATGATGAAAGTTGTCGGTGATGAAAGGTGTCGGTGTCGGGATGTCAACGGTTTGGTTGGTACACTTCGAACCTGTTCTCCTTTCCACTGTCGCTGTTTAATTTCACTCCCATGTGGAAAACAGAAAGATTTTGGGGTTTTTGGGTTGCGTAGCAACCCTTTATATTTGGTTTCACATTTTGGGGATATCATTCAAAGATTGTTATTTACGCACTTTTTGGAGCACTCGTTTGAATGTTTAGAAACTGTGCTCAAACGAATGCTTCAAACAGTGGATAAAAAACACTCTTGAATGAGATCCCCAAAACACGTAAACACGTACGTATCATGTTGAAACCATGAACTTGCTCGACCGTCACAACCTCGTCGATAAATACGGCGGATCGTACGGCCGAGCATAATATTCTGGCATCAACATGAACGAATGCAACTATACAAATGAACAACAAGGTATGAGGTGGAGTGGATGCTTCAAAATGAATGTTAAAATGCATCATGCAACAACAAAGGTTGATGGGGTCGTTGAAACAGCGAAAACACGCTGCCCCAAAGACGATTAACAACCTCTGATTGCATGCATAACACATACTAACACCACACTTAGAAACACACATCCCACAAACACGAATGCAAACATACGTAAAACTCCACAGTGAAACAAACACAATGACAAGACATGAACACGCACCCACACAAACATACCCGCAACGTGCACACATACATACACAAATAGGATTGATAGCAGACAAGCATAACAAAGAGTTGCAAAAAGTTAATTATGTATCAATCACTGCTACCTTGTCCCCCCCTTACTCCCCCTTCCTGCCTTCCTTCATCTCCCTCAACCATCGAAATCTCCTCCCACACTTTTCCACATTGTCTTCTCTCTCGATCCCTCCCTGCTCCACACCTTGCAAAACAAACAGGTCAAGAAGAAAAAGAATTGTAGTCGGAAAACGGAGTGAACTATTCAATGACGAACACGCACTTGATTGTGAAATGGAACTTGAAAGAAATATGATAAGTACAAAAGAAAACCGAATTCGACGACTCACAAGCGTGGTTTGAAACATAGATCCCCTGGGGTCACGCACACCACGCTGGTATGCAGCAAGGCTCTAGCGAGCAAGGTGCCTTGGTGCAACGAGCTGGGCATCGCCATGCTACAAGGTGCCAGAGAGTTGCAGCAAGGCACTGGCAGAGGAGCAAGCGGGCTGCCGTAACAAGGCGTGAGCTCACTGCAGCAAGGCGTGAGCTCACTGCAGCAAGGCGTGAGCTCACTTCAGCAAAGCGTGAGCTCACTGCAGCAAGGCGTGAGCTCACTGCAGCAAGGCGTGAGCTCACTGCAGGAATGCGCGAGCTCACTGGAGCAACGCGTGAGCTCACTGCAGCAAGGCGTGAGCTCACTGCAGCAAGGCGTGAGCTCACTGCAGCAAGGCGTGAGCTCACTGCAGCAAGGCGTGAGCTCACTGCAGCAAGGCGTGAGCTCACTGCAGCAAGGCGTGAGCTCACTGCAGCAAGGCGTGAGCTCACTGCAGCAAGGCGTGAGCTCACTGCAGCAAGGCGTGAGCTCACTGCAGCAAGACGTGAGCTCACTGCAGCAAGGCGTGAGCTCACTGCAGCAAGGCGTGAGCTCACTGCAGCAAGGAGTGAGCTCACTGTAGCAAGGCGTGAGCTCGCTGCAGCAAGGCGTGAGCTCACTGCAGCAAGGCGTGAGCTCACTGCAGCAAGGCGTGAGCTCACTGCAGCAAGGCGTGAGCGCACTGCAGCAAGGCGTGAGCTCACTGCAGCAAGGCGTGAGCTCACTGCAGCAAGGCATGAGATCACTGCAGCAAGGAGTGAGCTCAATGCAGCAAGGCGTGAGCTCACTGCAGCAAGGCGTGAGCTCACTGCAGCAAGGCGTGAGCTCACTGCATCAAGGCGTGAGCTCACTGCAGCAACGCGTGAGCTCACTGCAGCAACGCGTGAGCTCATTGCACCAACGCGTGAGCGCATGCACAAATTTACCAGCGCGCTGCCGCAACAAGGCTGCCGCAGGAATTTGCCAGCGCCGCAAACAAGGCAGCAGCGCACAAGCCGCCAGCTTGCTACAAGGTGCCAGCGCGCTGCGAGGGCACCTGCAAGGCGCCAAACGTAAGGCGCCAGCGCGTAAGGCGCCAGCGCGTTAGGCGCCAGCGCGTTTGGCGCCAGCGCAGCAAGCGCCAGCGCGCTAGGCGCTAGCGCGTTAGGCGCCAGCGCTCTAGGCACCTGCGCATTAGGCGCCAGCGCGTTAGGCGCCAGCGCAGCAAGCGCCAGCGCGCTAGGCGCCAGCGCTCTAGGCGCTTGCGCATTAGGCGCCAGCGCGCTAGGAACCAGCGCGCTATGTGCCAACGCGCTAGGCGGCAGCGCGCTAGGCGCGCTCTAGGCGCCTGCGCGTTAGGCGCCAGCGTGCTAGGCGCCAGCGTGTTAGGCGCCAGCGCGCTAGGCGCCAGCGCGTTTGGCGCTAGCCCGTTAGGCGCCAGCACGCTATGCGCCTGCGTGCTCGCTCCCGTGCGCACACACTCCCTCACACTCCCTCTCTCCCCTTCTTAAAATGGAGGCACAATACTAAGAGGAGACCAATCGGCATTGAGAACTTACGAGGAAAGTGGAAACAAGACTTGACGTTAACGTCGGACGGGTTGCGTATATGTTACATTGAGGAAGTGCAGTTTTGTTTTCTTATTTGGCGCCAAATTTAGGTCTACCGTATTAAAGATTACGGCAAGTGCTTCTTGATGGTGCAATGTATTAGTTTCAATCTGGGTGTTTATGATTTTTAAACATTGAGACACATTCATCGTTTTTTCTATGTAGTGAACAAAGATGATACTTTCTATTGTACCATTGCACTATTTTTAATGAGTTGTTTTCAGCCCAGTCAGTGTCACGTGAATGTGCGTGTGTTTTCACGTGACAATCCCACCCACCTATTGCCTCTCCCTCCCACCCACCCACCTCGTCATAGCATCCACCACCTCCACCCCACCATCCTTTCTTTCCCACCGCGCCGTCCTCTCTCCCTCCCACCCGCCCTCGCCTCCCACCCGCCCTCGCCTCTCCTTCCTACCCGCCGTCGCCGCTCCCTCCTCCTGCCGTCGCCGCTCCCTCCCACCCCGCCGTCGCCTCTCCCTCCGCCGTCGCCTCTCCCTCCGCCGTCGCATCTCCCTCCGCCGTCGCCTCTCCCTCCGCCGTCGCCTCTCCCTCCGCCGTCGCCTCTCCCTCCGCCGTCGCCTCTCCCTCCGCCGTCGCCTCTCCCTCCGCCGTCGCCTCTCCCTCCGCCGTCGCTTCTCCCTCCGCCGTCGCCTCTCCCTCCCCATCGTCTCCTCCCTCCCCATCCCGTCGCCTCCGCTCCTTCCCATCCCGTCGCCTCCGCTCCCTCCCATCCCGTCGCCTCCGCTCCCTCCCATCCCGTCGCCTCCGCTCCCTCCCATCCCCTCGCCTCCGCTCCCTCCCATACCGCCGTCGTCCCCTCCCACCCCGCCGTTGCCTCTCTCACCTACCCCGCCGTCGCCACTCCCTACCCTCCCGCCGCCGTCTCTCCCTCCCATCCCGCCGCCGTCTCTCCCTCCCATCCCGCCGCCGTCTCTCCCTCCCATCCCGCCGTCGCCACTCTCTCCCATCCCGCCACCGCCTCTCCCTCTCATCCCGCCGCCGTCTCTCCCTCCCATCCCGCCGCCGTCTCTCCCTCCCATCCCGCCGCCGTCTCTCCCTCCCATCCCGCCGTCGCCACTCTCTCCCATCCCGCCACCGCCTCTCCCTCTCATCCCGCCGCCGTCTCTCCCTCCCATCCTGCTTCGCCACTCTCTCTCATCCCGCCGTCGCCACTCCCTCCCATCCTGCTTCGCCACTCTCTCTCATCCCGCCGTCGCCACTCCCTCCCATCCTGCTTCGCCACTCTCTCTCATCCCGCCGTCGCCACTCCCTCCCATCCTGCTCCGCCACTCTCTCTCATCCCGCCGTCGCCACTCCCTCCCATCCTGCTCCGCCACTCTCTCTCATCCCGCCGTCGCCACTCCCTCCCATCCTGCTTCGCCACTCTCTCTCATCCCGCCGTCGCCACTCCCTCCCATCCTGCTTCGCCACTCTCTCTCATCCCGCCGTCGCCACTCCCTCCCATCCTGCTTCGCCACTCTCTCTCATCCCGCCGTCGCCACTCCCTCCCATCCTGCTTCGCCACTCTCTCTCATCCCGCCGTCGCCACTCCCTCCCATCCTGCTTCGCCACTCTCTCTCATCCCGCCGTCGCCACTCCCTCCCATCCTGCTTCGCCACTCTCTCTCATCCCGCCGTCGCCACTCCCTCCCATCCTGCTTCGCCACTCTCTCTCATCCCGCCGTCGCCACTCCCTCCCATCCTGCTTCGCCACTCTCTCTCATCCCGCCGTCGCCACTCCCTCCCATCATGCCGCCGTCTCTCCCTTCCATTCCGCCGCTCCTCGCCCTCATCCCCGCCGCGCCACTCCCTCCCGTCCCGCCGTGGGGAGGTTTGAGAGCATGGATAAGGATGGTGCGCGAACGAGAGCTGGTGCGCTAGCGCGGGTTGGTCTTCGAGGCACCGTCATTAGCAGGTGCGTTTATTCCTCCCACCCCTCAGAGATTCCATTGTTTCCTACCTTACTTGTAGTTTCTGCATTTAGACTTGCCTCGTCTTGCGTTGCACTACCAATTGAAGAGGGGGAGAGAGGGAGCGCGAGGGAGAGCGTTCGCACAGGAGCGAGCACGCAGGGAGTGCGCGTGAGACAGCGTATGTTGAGAGAGAATGAAGAGCTGGAGGGAGCACGAAGCGCGTGTGGGAGAGAGAGGCGGGAGAGAGAGTGTGTGCGCGCTTGCGCCGTTGGCGTGGGTGCCGCGGGCGCTTGCGCCTAATCCGCTTGCGCTTATGTCGCTTGCAATTAGGGCTCTGCACTGGTGCGCTTGTGGTTAGGGCGTGAGTGTGTGTGAGTGGTTGCAAGAGTGAGTCGAGAGTGTGCGAGAGGGTGAGTGCGGGTGTGAATCTAGGTGCTTGTGTGGGTGTGAGTGCGAAAGTGAGATGCGCGTGCAGTTGTGGGCAAGGGCGAGTGCGAGGTTGAATTAGAGAGCAAGCGCATGAGTGAGTGCGAGAGTAGTGAGAAGGTGAGTGAGAAAGCAAGTTTGAGAGTGAGTGCAAGTGTGAGTGCGAGGGCGAGTTTGAGGGTGAGTGTGCGTGTGAGTGTGTGTGTGTGTGTGTGTGTGTGCGAGGTTGAGTGCAAAGGAACACGAGGGTGCGTTCGAGTGTGTGTGAGGGTGAGTGCGAGGACATATGCAAGGGTGTGTGTGTTTTTGTGAGTGTCAGAGAAGAGTTGAGAGTATATTTGTGTGAGTGAAGAGTGAGTGCGAGAGTGTGAGGCTGAGTGAGTGAGTTGGTGGCTGCAATGTTGAGTGCAAGGGTGATCACGGTGTGAGTGTAAGAGTGAGTGCGAGGGTGAGTACGAGTATGTGCAAGAGAAAGTGGGAGATAGAGGGCGAGTAGGACTGCGAGAAGGAGTGCGAGCGTGAGTGTGGGCGTGGCTGTAGGTGCAAGTGTGGGTGTGTGTGCGAGTTGGGTTCGAGTGTGCGTGCGGCTATGTGTGCGTGAGCGTGTTCGAGTGAGTGCAAGGGTAAGCGCGAGCGCGAGTCCGAAGGTGAGTGTGAGGGTTATGTGTGTGTTTTTGTGAGTGTGTCTCAGTACGGTTAAAAGTACTTGTGTGTTCGTGAGTGGTTGCGAACGTGAGTGCGAGCGAGCGTGAGAGAATGAGCGCGGGTATGAGTGCGAGTGAGTGCATGCATGCACTTGAGGGTGCATGCAAGTGTGTGTACGAGGGTGAATGCGAGAGGAAGTGCGAGCGTGAGTGCGAGAGTGAATGCGAAGGTGAGTGCAAGGGTCAGTGCAAGAGCAAGTGTTAGAGTGAGAGTGAGTGTGAGTATGAGTGTGAGTGCAAGTGAGTGTGCAAGAGTGAGTGCAAGGGTGAGTGCGAGGGTGCGCGTGTGAGTGCAATGGTAAGTGCGAGGGTGAGAGCGAGGGTACGTGCGAGCATGAATGCGAAAATGAGTTTGAGGGTGAGTGCGAGGGTGCGTGCAAGGGTGAGTGCGAGTGTGCGTGCTAGTGCATGCGCGCTTTTTTGAGTGAGTGTGAGTGCAGGGAGTGTGTGTTTCTGTGAGCGTGTCTAGCAAAAGTTGGGAGCGATAGTGTGTGCGTGAGTGAGTTGGAAAGTGAGTGCGAGAGTGAGGTGCGAGGATGAGTGTCAGGGTGAAGGCGAGGGTGGCTGCGAGGGTGGCTGCGAGGTATTACGTGCATGCTGGCATGGTATGTGTGACGACACGATATCTTATACCGAATCACCTTCGTGAGATGTCAAATTTGATTGTTTTCGTCCCTCATCTGTATTTTTTGTACTTCATTCTTCATCAGCGTATTGTTATAACTCTTACCTCGTTTCTTGTGCTCGGGTGGGCTGCATTCCTGTGATTTGTTTCCTGTGCTGTGCAGCTCATGCAAGTTGTATTCTCTTTTGTTTTTGTTTGTGCAGGGAGTGTTAGCTGCATTATCTGTTTTTGCTTTCTTGCCCAGGGAATGTGAGTTGCATGCGCTGTTTGTGCTTTCTTGGGCAGGGAGTTCAAGCTGCACTATTTGGTTTTTCTTGTGGAGAAAGGGGAGGGGTTGAGAGAGGGTAAACAGATACGGGAGGAATAGGGGATATTGGAAGGGAGGGGGGGGATGGGAGACAAGGGAGGCAGGGAGGGGAATGTGGGACAGGTTAACGGTGATTATACATGGCTGAACTCATTCGTTACGCTTGCATTGCATGTTCAATAGCGGTAGTATGCCTTTGTGTTGTTTGCGTGTGTGTGTAGGTGTGTGAGCGAGCCTGTATGTGTCTGTCTATACATGTTGGTGTTGTTTGTGTCTGTTTCGGGGTTTGGTGTTGAGTGCCTCGTGTATGCAACTGGGGTTGTGATCGTCGGTGGGGCAGCTATGCTCGCCCCTTCCGCACCATATCAACCTCTGTTGCGACATCGATGCATTTAGCATTAGCCTTGAAGCATTCACAACTGTTAAATGTCCAATGTTTTTGTGCAAATTTGTGTGCTGTCGTTTGTGCCTGTTTCGGGGTTTGGTGTTGAGTGCCTCGTGTAAGCAATTCGGGTTGTGATCGTCGGTGGGGCAGCTTTGCTCGCCCTTTCCGCACCATATCAACCCCTGTTGCATCATCGATGCATTTAGCAATAGCCTTGAAGCATTCTTGACTGTCCAACGTTTTTTAGCAAGTTCGTGTGTACTTTCATATCTTCATGTTGTTTTCTTTGTTTGTTTGTTTGTTGTTGTTTTTTTTTGTTTTTTTTTTTTTTGTGAAATTCACGTACGGTATCGTCGTTCGTGAGGAGAGATTGTCCACTTATTCCATTCGCCGTACTTATCGACGACTATGGATGATTGGACACATTTGGTTTCACTTGTACGGTAACTTACGTGAACAGTGATTCCTTCCAAAATCGATAAAGAGGAAGTCACTGTTCACGCCAGTCAACCGAAAAGTGAAAACGAATGTATAAGGTTGCTACGCAACCCCAAAATAGGACATTTCGGAGAGAGTAGCAAACGCACCTGAGACAGCCGTGCCTAAGAAAACAACGCGTGGTCGTGCAGCAACCCACCAAAGGCGACGGCGGGAAGGGAGGGAGAGGCGACGAGGAGGAGGAAGGGAGAGCGACGGCGGGGAGTTAGGGAGAGGCGACGGTGGGGGGTGAGGTGAGGCGACGGCCGGGAGTGAGGGAGAGGTGACGGCAAGGTGGTTCTAAAAAAACGAGTGGGAAGGTATTTGGGGTGGGAAGAAGAAGGGGAGATCAGAGTCGAGCAGGTGCTTGAATTCAAGAAACGGGACTCCCAAGGGAGCAGAGTTGACAGTGGGGAAAGGTTTGGTTGGGTTTGTGTAGCGCTGGCAAGAAATTTTTCTACCAACGAGGCACGAACCAGTTTCCACAATCGAAATACCACCAGTTCCTTATACTCGCCAAAATCAAGAAATTTGTAGATGATTATTTTTAGTTGTTTGTGACACACAAGATTTGGCTGCAAATACACAAACTCACTAGAAAACAATATTTCTTAGGAAAACAATATACTTATAGGTCTTTAAATCTTCTGCCATTAACTACAATCAATGGTAGTAAAAAATTACCACGAGCAGTAACTAACGAAATAAAGAACTTACAAGCATGTTATAAAAAGACATAGTTAGTTGCTTTCTCTATATACCATAAGTATAATATCAAGCAGTTCATGTCTTAGCACGAAAAAGTATGAGTCCTACGCAACCCTTCCGACGTTAACGTCGAATCTTGTTAGTTTATCGAGAAGCACTAGCGAACGATATTCGCTACGAAGGCACTGTTAGCGCTGCTGGGGACTAGTTCCGTGGATTTCCAATCTGAGAGCGTTCACTTATTACGCTCGTTAGGAAATCCAACTCCGATTGGTCAAAACAGTTAACAAACAAACTATGATCGTCCGTATAGACGGTCGTCGTCCATGTCGACAAGTCGACTTCATTTTTCCGGGCAAAAAACAATATACCCTCTTAGGTGGTATGTCATGCGCTCGATAGTCGTTGCACATGCGCAGGCCTCCGTCCTTCTTCGGCCTGAACAGTATCAGGGCGACGTATGGTGACGTGCTCGGCCGGATAAAACCCTTGGAAAGCAGATAATCCAGCTGTTTCCGCAACGCGTCGAGCTCCGGCTGAATAAGGAAAATAGAAGGAAGGAAAATAGAAGGAGGAGAAGGAGGAGAAGGAGGAGAAGGAAAATAGAAGGAGGAGAAGGAGGAGAAGGAGGAGAAGGAGGAAGGAGGAGAAGGAAGGAGGAGAAGGAAGGAGGAGAAGGAAGGAAGGAGGAGAAGGAAGGAGGAGAAGGAAGGAGGAGAAGGAAGGAGGAGAAGGAAGGAGGAGAAGGAAGGAGGAGAAGGAAGGAGGAGAAGGAAGGAGAAGGAGGAGAAGGAAGGAGGAGAAGGAGGAGGAGGAGGAGGAGGAGGAGGAGGAGGAGGAGGAGGAGGAGGAGGAGGAGGAGGAGGAGGAGGAGGAGGAGGAGGAGAAGAAGAAGAAGAAGAAGAAGAAGAAGAAGAAGAAGAAGAAGAAGAAGAAGAAGAAGAAGAAGAAGAAGAAGAAGAAGAAGAAGAAGAAGAAGAAGAAGAAGAAGAAGAAGAAGAAGAAGAAGAAGGAAAATAGAAGGAAGGAAAATAGAAGGAGGAGAAGGAGGAGAAGGAGGAGAAGGAAAATAGAAGGAGGAGAAGGAGGAGAAGGAGGAGAAGGAGGAAGGAGGAGAAGGAAGGAGGAGAAGGAAGGAGGAGAAGGAAGGAAGGAGGAGAAGGAAGGAGGAGAAGGAAGGAGGAGAAGGAAGGAGGAGAAGGAAGGAGGAGAAGGAAGGAGGAGAAGGAAGGAGAAGGAGGAGAAGGAAGGAGGAGAAGGAGGAGGAGGAGGAGGAGGAGGAGGAGGAGGAGGAGGAGGAGGAGGAGGAGGAGGAGGAGGAGGAGGAGGAGGAGAAGAAGAAGAAGAAGAAGAAGAAGAAGAAGAAGAAGAAGAAGAAGAAGAAGAAGAAGAAGAAGAAGAAGAAGAAGAAGAAGAAGAAGAAGAAGAAGAAGAAGAAGAAGAAGAAGAAGAAGAAGAAGAAGAAGAAGAAGAAGAAGAAAAGGTAAGGTCCACCTAGGGATGAGCAAGTGGCGAACACGAACGTGTTCGTGTTCGCCCCTACACGAACACCTTCGTTTGCCGAACCGAACACTGTTTGGTTCGGCGAACACTTTGAGCAAAAAATGGTGTTCGCCGTTCGCCTGTGAAGGCGTGTTCGGGCGAACCTCGAACACTGTTCGTGTTCGTCGCGGGCAAATTGCAGCAGCGGCCCGAACACGAACGTGTTCGGGCGAACATCGAACACTGTTCGGCGAACATTTTAAGCCAAAAAAAATACCTGTTCGGTTCGCCTCGAACACGTTCGAGGCGAACCGAACAGGTGTTCGTTTTTTTGCTCAACCCTACCCTAGGTCCACCGACAAACAAGCTTGTCAGTTTATGCGTGTCTCTTTCTTGCATAACAAGTCGCAAAGAGATGTGATGTGGGAAGTCAGTTGCCTACAAGTGACGCAGCTTCTTGAGTCGGCTGAAGGAGGTCGGGATACTGCCGCCACTGACTGCTGATTCGACATGGCTGTGAGAAGAGAAGGGAGGGAGGGCGGGAGAGAGGGTGTTTTGACTGGACCCAAAACAGGAGAGAGGGACGCTGCCACCGCTGACTGCTGACTCGATGTGCCTGTGAGGCGAGAAGAGATGGAGGGACACGTTTCCTGTCATATCTGAAAGAGGGAGAGAGGGTGTTTTGAGTCGACTCAAAACAGGAGGAAGGGACGCTGCCACTGCTGACTGCTGATCCGATGTGTCTGTGAGAAGAGAAGGGAGGGAGGGATGGGGGGAGGTAAGGGTGTCCGCTGAAGAAGGAAGGGATGCTTCCACTGTTGATTGCTGACTCGATGTGCCTGTGAGACGAGATGGGATGGAGGGCGGGCGAGAGGGTGTCTTCAGTCGACTCAAAACAGGAGGAAGGGACGAGGGGAAGAGGGGACTGATGGATAGAGCAGGAGGGAAAGGTGAAGGGGGCTGTTAGAAAAGGGGGGAAAGGTAAAGGCGGATAGGGAGGGAGGGGTTGAGGGGGAAGGGATGAAGGCAGCAGCAGCAAAAAGGTGATGCGTGACAAGAAGATGAGAAAAGTAAGGGATTGGGGGGAGGTGACTGACAGGTAGGTGAGGTTAATGACAGGTAGGTGAGGTGACTGACAGGTAGGTGAGGTGACAGACAGGTAGGTGAGGTGACTGACAGGTGGGTGAGGTGACTGACAGGTGGGTGAGGTGACTGACAGGTAGGTGAGGTGACTGACAGGTAGGTGAGGTGACTGACAGGTGGGTGAGGTGACTGACAGGTGGGTGAGGTGACTGACAGGTAGGTGAGTTGACTGACAGGTAGGTGAGGTGACTGACAGGTGGGTGAGGTGACTGACAGGTGGGTGAGGTGACTGACAGGTGGGTGAGGGAAGCAAGCGAGCCGAGGACAGATGGTAGGCTGGACAAGTCACCACTCTTCATTGTCCTGTTTGGGTGATGAATGGGAAGCGGGGGGAGGCTCAAAGTAGATGAATGGAGGTGGGTACGATACTTATGGTATGCAGCATGCTTCAGGCATGAGAAAATTTCAAACCCGAACCCGACTGACCAAAACTGGTTCAAACTGGTTCAAACCGGTCCAAACTGGTCCGCAGTCAAACTCAAACTGGTTCGCCTCAAATCAGCTTTTGAGGCGCCTCAAAAGGTTCACCCCAAATCGGATGGCTAAAAGAAGGGGTTCGTTACTATGCTCATGCCTAGCAGTATGTAGGGTGTCATGTGCTAGTACTACCGACATGAAATGAAGACGAGTAGAACCCACAAAAGCACCAACAATCTTTCTGATCCTGGCAGTGGTCCTTGCAACAATCACCAAGTTGGGTGTGGAGATATCTTTGGCCGTAAGTAATCAGAGTCCTCACACAACCAATGTTGTTGTCATGTGTGCATGTTGCGTTTACATATCAACGTTTAATGCACTTCCCTCGTTGAGACAGTTTCAAAACGAACATCAAATACGCTTAAGATCAACAGGCGCGCCTAAGCATGGGTACGGCCAGGTGGGATGGGATGGGCAGGCACGCCTAAGGACAGGCATGGCCAGGTGGGATGGGTGTTATGCTAAGCATGGGTACGGCCAGGTGGGATGGGATGGGCAGGCACGCCTAAGGGCAGGCATGGCCAGGTGGGATGGATGTTATGCTAAGCATGGGTACGGCCAGGTGGGATGGGATGGGCAGGCACGCCTAAGGGCAGGCATCCCAAAGGTCCTACCATGCTAGTCGCCTTGCTGAAAGCGACAATATAATCGTATCTCTGGAGCATGGGAGGGGCATTAGGGATGCGCGTGCTGGCTTGTGCTGGTAAAACACTGTGAGCTAGTACAGGCACAGACATGGACTGAAGCAAGTTGACTTTTGAGTCAACTCAAAAGTCAACTGGCATGCTGGCCTGTGCTGGTAATACACTGTGAGCTTGTACAGGCACAGACATGGACTGAAGCAAGTCGACTTCTGAGTCAACTCAAAAGTCAATTGGCATGCTGGCCTGTGCTGGTAATACACTGTGAGCTAGTACAGGCCCATACAGGGACTGAAGCATGAGCACCGGCCCGAACCGACGGCTCAGATCGCCGGCTCGGCTTATCAAAGGTCGAGCCGAGTCAGTGGCTGGCTCGGCACCAGATCGGCACGAGAGCTGCGCCGGAGGAAATCACTTCTGAATTCTCCGGAGGAAATCACTTCTGATTTCTCCGGAGGAAATCACTTCTGATCTCCATACAGCTCGGCGGCTCGCCTATTGAAAGCGACAAGCCGGTATTTGGCTCATCTGCTAGGCCACATTAACTAGCTGGTTTTCCGCACGTCAAACCGGCAGTTCATCGACGGATTGTGTGGGCCATCTTCGTCTGCCAGATCCGCTAATTCATTCCAGCTCGACTCAGTTCGTCCCGGTTCGTCCCAGCTCCGCCAGCTCGCCTAGATGAACGAGCCATGAGCTGGCCTTCTCACTGACTCGGCTCAACGGGCCGGCAGCTGGCTCGCTCGGTGGTGATCCAAGTCGGGCCAAGTCGATAATCCAACTTCATCGGATCATCACAAGAGTCGCGCCGGCAGCTGTGTCGGTGGTGATCCAAGTCGGGAATCCAACTCCGCCGGATCATCACGAGAGTCGCGCCAGCAGCTGGGTCGGTGGTGATCCAAATCGGGCCAAGTCGGTAATCCAACTCCGCCGGATCATCACGAGAGTCGCGCAGGCAGCTGGGTCGGTGGTGATCCAAGTCGGGCCAAGTCGGGAATCCAACTTCATCGGATCATCACGAGTTGCGCCGGCAGCTGGGTCGACGGCTCGTGTGCTAGGCTGCAGCAATGATCCAGTTTTCCGTTCATCTGCTCGGCCGCATGGACAAGCGGGTTGACTTTTGAGTCGACTCAGAAGTCACCTCGTCTTCTGTTCATCTGCTGGGCCGCATGGACAAGCGGGTTGACTTTTGAGTCGACTCAGAAGTCACCTCGTTTTCTGTTCATCTGCTGGGCCGCATGGACAAGCTGGTTGACTTTTGAGTCGACTCAGAAGTCACCTCGTTTTCTGTTCATCTGCTGGGCCGCATGGACAAGCGGGTTGACTTTTGAGTCGACTCAGAAGTCGCCTCGTTTTCTGTTCATCTGCTGGGCCGCATGGACAAGCGGGTTTTCAGCTCGTGGAGCAAAGGCTTGTCAACGGATCGTCTAGTCATCTCCGTCCCAGCTCCGCCAGCTCGCCTAAATGACGATCTGGCCGTCTCGTGGCTCATCCATTGGCAGAGCTCCGCCAGCTCGCCTAAATGGATGACCCATGAGGCCATGACCCATGCGCCACGAGCTGGACTTCTCCCTGACTCGGCTCAATGGGCAGAGCCGAGCCTCTGCGCTTGAGAGGAGCGGAGGAGAGACGAGCTGGCTGGGCTAGAGTCATTCCATGATGGAACGGCATGGCTTTTATGGAAGCTATGTTGATGTTACTTTTGAGAATTCTCAAAAGCACCACCACGATGGAATGGCATAGCTTCTATGGAAACACATTGAAAGTGCCAACTACTTCTTGCAGGTTAGTACAAGTTGAAGAGAGGGGAGGTTTGGGTTGGGTTTGGGAGGCTGTGTGGGGTGGCCAGCGGATGAGTTGGGGGTGCGAACGGGTTGGGAGGGACAGGGGGGGATAGAAGTTGGAGCTTGAAACTCTCAATCGCTGGGTTATGTTTACGGCATCTCCTAATTCTTGTTCCCATGGTGACCTGCTTCGAATGAGTACGTTAGTGCATTTCGTGTCTATATTCTATTGCGCACATACGCTACTCTATCTAGCGCACGCGCAACATCGCTCGAAGTCACTCAAGGCATTGCTTGAATGGTTTCAGTCGCAACAATCCTCCGCAAATTCTCTACCTTAAAAATGTTTTTCCCTAGTCTATCTAGAGTCATCGACACGACCGTCACTCACAGTGATTCGAGGCGTGAGAGGCGGAGAATCTCGGATGGCACGTCAGACATGGCGTAGAGAGACCTGGCAACGGGGAGAGAAGCCACGAAGGGGGGAAGAGAAGCCACGAATGGGGGAAGAGAAGCCACGAATGGGGGAAGAGAAGCCACGAATGGGGGAAGAGAAGCCACGAATGGGGGAAGAGAAGCCACGAATGGGGGAAGAGAAGCCACGAATGGGGGAAGAGAAGCCACGAATGGGGGAAGAGAAGCCACGAATGGGGGAAGAGAAGCCACGAATGGGGGAAGAGAAGCCACGAATGGGGGAAGAGAAGCCACGAATGGGGGAAGAGAAGCCACGAATGGGGGAAGAGAAGCCACGAATGGGGGAAGAGAAGCCACGAATGGGGGAAGAGAAGCCACGAATGGGGGAAGAGAAGCCACGAATGGGGGAAGAGAAGCCACGAATGGGGAAGAGAAGCCACGAATGGGGGAAGAGAAGCCACGAATGGGGGAAGAGAAGCCACGAATGGGGGAAGAGAAGCCACGAATGGGGGAAGAGAAGCCACGAATGGGGGAAGAGAAGCCACGAATGGGGGAAGAGAAGCCACGAATGGGGGAAGAGAAGCCACGAATGGGGGAAGAGAAGCCACGAATGGGGGAAGAGAAGCCACGAATGGGGGAAGAGAAGCCACGAATGGGGGAAGAGAAGCCACGAATGGGGGAAGAGAAGCCACGAATGGGGGAAGAGAAGCCACGAATGGGGGAAGAGAAGCCACGAATGGGGGAAGAGAAGCCACGAATGGGGGAAGAGAAGCCACGAATGGGGGAAGAGAAGCCACGAATGGGGGAAGAGAAGCCACGAAGGGGGGAAGAGAAGCCACGAATGGGGGAAGAGAAGCCACGAAGGGGGGAAGAGAAGCCACGAATGGGGGAAGAGAAGCCACGAATGGGGGAAGAGAAGCCACGAATGGGGGAAGAGAAGCCACGAATGGGGGAAGAGAAGCCACGAATGGGGGAAGAGAAGCCACGAATGGGGGAAGAGAAGCCACGAATGGGGGGGGAGAAGCCACGAATGGGGGAAGAGAAGCCACGAATGGGGGAAGAGAAGCCACGAATGGGGGAAGAGAAGCCACGAATGGGGGAAGAGAAGCCACGAAGGGGGGAAGAGAAGCCACGAATGGGGGAAGAGAAGCCACGAATGGGGGAAGAGAAGCCACGAATGGGGGAAGAGAAGCCACGAAGGGGGGAAGAGAAGCCACGAATGGGGGAAGAGAAGCCACGAATGGGGGAAGAGAAGCCACGAATGGGGGAAGAGAAGCCACGAAGGGGGGAAGAGAAGCCACGAATGGGGGGGGAGAAGCCACGAATGGGGGGGGAGAAGCCACGAATGGGGGAAGAGAAGCCACGAATGGGGGAAGAGAAGCCACGAATGGGGGAAGAGAAGCCACGAATGGGGGAAGAGAAGCCACGAATGGGGGAAGAGAAGCCACGAATGGGGGAAGAGAAGCCACGAATGGGGGAAGAGAAGCCACGAATGGGGGAAGAGAAGCCACGAATGGGGGAAGAGAAGCCACGAATGGGGGAAGAGAAGCCACGAATGGGGGAAGAGAAGCCACGAATGGGGGAAGAGAAGCCACGAATGGGGGAAGAGAAGCCACGAATGGGGGAAGAGAAGCCACGAATGGGGGAAGAGAAGCCACGAATGGGGGAAGAGAAGCCACGAATGGGGGAAGAGAAGCCACGAATGGGGGAAGAGAAGCCACGAATGGGGGAAGAGAAGCCACGAATGGGGGAAGAGAAGCCACGAATGGGGGGAGAGAAGCCACGAATGGGGGAAGAGAAGCCACGAATGGGGGAAGAGAAGCCACGAATGGGGGAAGAGAAGCCACGAATGGGGGAAGAGAAGCCACGAAGGGGGGAAGAGAAGCCACGAATGGGGGAAGAGAAGCCACGAATGGGGGAAGAGAAGCCACGAATGGGGGAAGAGAAGCCACGAATGGGGGAAGAGAAGCCACGAATGGGGGA